CCAGGGGAAGTAAGCTGAAAATGCCAAATATATGCTATGCCGTCCGTTCTGTTAAAACAGGCCTGTGGCACTGGGGAGGCAATAGGACATCATAGTTGAGAACATGGTCCCTGTCATCAGGTGATCCGGGCACAAACTTCAGCTAGGCCTCTTCTGGGCTGTGTGATGGGACCAGCCAGCTCGCCTCTCCAAGCCTCCCAGATTAAACAGAAGACAGTTATAGAACTGCTGGAGTTTGGGCCACGAGGCATGGAGGCATGGAGTTCGGTAAGCCCTCCGAAAACATTCACACATTATCATCATCATCACTGCTGATGTCGGGATGAGCAGAAAGCAAGGAGGGGACAGGGGATATCCATGCTGAGGAAGCACAGGTGTTCACTCTCCAGCTCTGAATGAGCACCCGGGCCACATGGGAAGAAATGCGCGTCGGCTAGCTAGAAGCACAGTAATGGCGTGTAACAAACAACCAGAAAACCTCTGGAACACACAGTAAAAAGAATTTCTCTCGCTAACCCTGCAGGCGGTGTGGGCTTGGCTGAGCTACGCTCTTTATTGAAGTTCGAGCTCAGGGTGGTTGGACGCGTGTTCATTCTGGGGCCAGGCTGAGGGAGCTTTTCCCCTAACCATGGCAGGAGCCCCTTGAGACCTAAGCTTGGAACGTACCCGTGGTCACATCCGTCTTCTACTAAAGACCAAAGCCCCTCACGGGGCCAAACCCCCAGGAAAGGAGCAGGGGCCTAAACCACCCCCCCCCCACCTCTTGAGTGAGAAAAAGGCCAAGTCCCACAGCCAAGGGCAGGGGTGCAGGGAGAAGGGAGGAAGCAGGGCCAGGGATAGCTCCATCCCAATAGCAAAACACCAGCCACACCTTGGAAAGGGCCCCCCCACCAGCCCTGCCCTCCTCACCAGGTTCCTCTTCAGCCCCTTGGCCTCATCAGCATTTTGTCAAAACGTAGAAGAGACCCCAAGTGCTAACACTTGTAGTCTTGGGGGACCCCATCCCCAACTTCCCAACATCTGGACCTGCTCTGAGGAGCCATTAATCTTGGGCAATTTCTTTCCTCACTTGATTTGTTTATTTAAGGAAAACAAGTTGTTCTTAATTAGAAGCACGGCTGGCGGGATGTTCAGTGCGTCCTAGGCTGCCTATTTTCAGACCTTCTGCCTAAAATTACACCTGCACTAACATCTGTGAGCATGTTCGGCAACTGTCCCGCATGCAGGCTTTTGGCGAGAGAGGCTTGCGGTGCTGTGGGGGCCGAGGGAGCCGGGGGCAGGGGGTCCCTGGGCTTCAGAGCAAAGGCACTTGGAAAGGTGCACAAGTAACACATCCCAACAAGCTGCTCGCAGCTGGCACAGATCACCAAGTCAACCCTTGGCGAGTGTAGAGCCTGAACACCGCCCTGACCCGAGGCATGGGGCAAGAAGTTGTTTTAAAGAGTCAGAGAGGTTTTCTGGTGGGACGCTCTTAGCTTACACCTCCCCACCAGTCTTGCACCTCCACGAACACTCAAACACACCCGCAGAGACACACATGCTCAGAAACACATACACATACACACACAATCACAGAAGTCATTCTGTCCCATATACACTGCAGGTGTGCACACGCACACACACACGCACAGGTGCACACACTCAGAAACTCACACACAGGAGACATGCACTAAAGTCACATTGCAACCCCCCCACATAATCAGAGACATAGGCACGTGGAGACACACTCCAGTGTGCACAGCAACCCCACACACTGGATACCAACACTCAGAAACACGCACCAAGAGATACAATCAAGTGTGCAAAGCTACACACAGGCATGCACAACCAGAGACACAGGTCCATACACAGAGGTGCCCAGAAAGTTCACCGCGCCATATACACAGGTGTACGCCGCCCAAAAACACACAGTGACACAGAGACACCCACAGAGGTTACAAACAGTTCCCTGCGCAGATGCAGAGACAAGGGAGTGTGCAACACTATGCATACACGGGCACAGAGTAATATAAAGTTATGCTGAAAAACAAGTAGGCTGGAAGCACATACCACAAGTTTACGCTCACTGTGTTGCACACGCATGCAGGCACTCACACACACCCACACAGCTGCCGAAGCAGGCGCCCAGACAGGCCTGCCCAGACTCTCGAACACAGCATGTGCCATGCGGAGCCCCCCAGACACATGGGTGCAGCCGAGCAGCTGTGTGCCTCCCTGACACAGACACACATCCAACTCACAAATACAACCGCTGGACATGCACAAGCTCGTATCCAAGCTTATATCCACTTGCTCTGACTCACCTACGCACACATTCCCCTGAAAACACACATGCACACACTCAAAAATCCACAAGCAGTCTCACAAGTGCACACCCAGACTGACCCTATTCACATGTGTGCACACACACGGCGATTTTTATGTAAGTCAGACTCCTCTGAACATGTGTGCATGGACCTGCATGAGAATGCACTCATTTACACACATCCACCTGCACACACCCACATCCTACTCTGCCCAGACAGCAAACCGTTCATTTTCTGAATACCCAAAGTCAGGCCCGCAGACCCAGCCAGCACCCGGCCAAACTGCTTCTGTCCTGCCTCCAACTGCCTGGTAACTCACTCTACCTCAAACCAGATAAGGTCTGCCCCTTCATCATGGACTTGGGGTGAACCCTGGTTTGGAAAGGACACAAGAGGTCCCAAGCCCCAGAACCACTCAAAAATAAATAAGACGTACCAAAATCTACTGCCTTTCCCCACCATCCTGGCAAATCCTCTTCCTTACCCCAAACACACACACACACACACATAGGCACATGTGCGGCACAGGGCACTTTCCCCAGCACAGCTGTTCCTGTCAGGAACGGCAGCTCTGTCCGCTCCAACAGCCTCAGCAGCCTGGGTGCCCGACACCCAGACATACTGAACTTCTCAGTCCTGGATCCCTACACTGCCGTGAAGTTGAAGCCATGGAGACAGCTTACCTCCACCTTCTGTTGTCATGGCGACGTGGCAGCTGGGCTGCCTCCAGCCCTCCCTGCCTGCCCTGAGCTCCTCTCTAGGAGCTGCTGGCCCAGCAGAGCTTTTATGGAGGAAGCTTCGAGGGGGTGGGGACTGCAGGTGTCAGTTGATTGGAGAGAATAAGGGCCCTGCCTCCCAGCCAGGATCACCTGGTGCTCAGGTGGGACAGGAGAGAGCCTCCCTGGGGAAAACAGCCCCCACAGGCTCGCACACAAGCGCCGGAAACAGACAGCCCCGCTCCTGCATACCCATGTCGGAGGAGACCCAGTCTTCACCAGACTCTACCATAACCACTTTCCAAGCACCATTCCCCCCCCACACACACTCCTCCTAACAAAAACTGTGAACTCCGCATCTTAACAGGGTGAAATGACTGGTCCACCTCAGATGCGTCTGAGTCCCACGCCCTTGAAACATTCAACTGTACTACGGGATTTTGAAAATCTCTGTGATGATCGCTCAGGGCATTAGAGTGTCTGAACTGGGACCTCTGAAGACACATGAAACCTCTTCATTTTGCAGAAGGAACAACTGGAGCCCAGAGAGGTCTAGCGATTTGCCCAAGTCACACAGCACATTGACAGAAGGCTTGACGCTCAGTCTTCCGACCCAGAGATGAGGTTTCCCCAGGACATCAAGTGCCAGCCTCTGACCTCCCGTCTCAGCAGTAGAGGGAAGCAGCTCCTAGCTAGGCCCCAGGTCAGAATCCTAAGCAAGGGCAGAAGGTCTTGAAACTCCTACCTCATCACTCGAGAACCGTCCCAGAACCACACAGCAATGTATTATTTCCCAGAGGCAGATGCCCAGCCCAAGCAGGACCAGCGGATTATTTCTAACCTTCAGGTCACGGTCAGAGGCATTTTCACTGCCTGCCTTCCTGACCAACTTGTCCATCCAGATGGCCCCAACCCTAGGCTGTATCCCCTGCAAGAAAGCCCCACACATCTAGGAGGCTGTGACCACAGGGATGGCTTCCAAATGGTCCTCAGAGACCAGGTGCCTCTTGGGAGCAGGCTTTTCATTAGGAGGGAGAGAAATCTGGCCAAACTCATGAGCTCTATGTTTGGGCTCTGCAGAACCTCTAGGGACCTGGAGTGTGTGGGGACTACCGACAGCCCGAGCTGCAGATGAGGACAGCTCGAGCCTCTATCCAGCTGTCCATTCCAGCCCCTTTACCGCACAAAGTTTGTCCCTCCCCAGGCTCTGAATGCTCTTATTCAGCGGCCCAGGTAACTTCCCCAAATCTTTGGCTCATCTCAGGAGCTGCAGGTAATGGGAGATGATCCCTACCACTCCTAGCATCTCTGCCAAGGAGGTGAGGGGGATCCTGTGATGCCACTTGGGGCTGCGGGAAGAGCTTGGATCCAGGAGGTCTGGGAGAGGGGGCCAGGCCCCATTTCGCTCTCCCCCTCCTGACACACACACACACACACACACAACCGAGGGAATGGGCAGAAGCAAGGCTGCAAAGCACACAGCCCATCCCCTGGGCAGCCCTGGAAGCCGCATGCACCCCAGCACCACCGCGACAAGCACCTTCTGAAGCCAACTTGAAAATAGGACCGGCTCCTTCTCCCCCGAACTGTAAACAGGCCGAATATGGGGAAATTCATCAATTCAATTAAAGGGGCCCACTGCCTCCAAACACCCCCCACCCCGGCCCAGCTCAGTCTGGGAAGCCTCGAGTGCCTGTCTTTGGGGACCCAGCGGGATTGCCCGCAGGAAGGACGCATGGATGAGCCCGAACGTCCCACCCTCTGCCAGAGAAGAGAAAGTTTGTCATTTACCCGGGCGCTGGGCTGTCACCACTCCGGGTTCCTTCCTCACCCGGCTCCGGGCGCTGAGCCCCCAGCCTGCCGGGAAGCGGCTGGACCTGTAAGCCCCGACTGGGGGCAGGAATCATTTGGCGGCAGCTCGGCCGCCCCGCTCCCTCTCCGGAGCCCTTCTACCCGGCCCTGCCGCCTCGGCCCTTACCTGAGGGGGGTCTCGGCCACTTGCAAACTCTGCCAACGGAGCCCAGCAGGCGCCGGGGTCTCCCTCGGCGACTCGCGCGTCCCGCTCGGCGCGCCCGCTCCGTGGGCGCCTTCCCCGCTGCCAGCCGCTGCAGTGGCATCCAGCAAAGCCGACTCGGGATCGCCTTTCTCGCCACCAAGCCTGCTCCGGGCCGGGTCCGGGGCGGGGCGGGGGTGGGGGGGCTGCTCTTCGGGGCTGGTGCAGGGGACCACCCTGCGCGCGGCCAGCGGGAAAGTGCAAGAGTGTGCGTCCTGGATTGCAGCAGCGGCGACAGCGGCGACCGGGGACGAGGAGGCGGTGGCGACGCCAGCCGGCGAGCCGGGGAGGCGGGCGGCGGCGCGAAGTGGAAGCCGGGCTCCCGCGAGCCTGGCGCCCCGGCGGGCGGGCGGCACTGCGGGTGCCCCGCGTCGCGACGAGGCCCCGCGCGCGCGCGGCCACCCGGCCGGGGGATGGCGAGGCCGGGGCGCGGCGGGCGCGGGCGGCGGCTGGGCGCCGGGCTCCGGCCGCCTTGCCTCGCGCTCGCCGCCTCGCGCGCTGCCTCGCTCGCTGCCCGGACTTCCCGTCTCCCGCCCGAGCTCCCCGCGCCGCCGCCGCCGCCGCCGCCAGCAGCGCGCCTCAACCGGGCGCGCTCCTCACGCGGAGCCACAGCGCTGCCTCCGCTTAACTCCTTACGTGCCACCTGGCCCTCCCGCAGCCGTCCGCGGAGCCGGGCAACCCGGCGCCAGGCAGGCCTCCCGGCCTTGCTTTGCTCGTCTCTAAAATGGGCTCGCGGCCCCGCTCTGGGGAGTGGGGTAGAGAATTAACGGAGCGGATTAGTGATGCTAAGTGCCATGCGGCGGGCATTAAGGAAGCACTAGATAAATGGCAGAGGATTGGCTGCTTCTGCTGCTGCTGCTGCTGTGCTGGGTTAGCAGGTTACCTTGCAAAGAGTAAACAACCTGAAAAGGGCAGTTTGGTTTGTTGGTATTTACTTTGTTCTTTTTAACAGGAAATAGGTTTAAGCTGTGTGACCCTGGGCTGGTCACTTACCCTCTCTGAGCCTGTTGCAGAAGATTCCCTCTGCGCTGTGTGACCTTGGGTCTCAGCACCCCCCCTGAACCTCTTGTAATAGCCTCATCTGTAAAGTGGGGGACGATCGATGTGGCCCACCTTCAAAGGACCTCCTGCAAATCTCTGGAAAGGGAGCTGCTCTCAAGAGAACCACCATGGAGCCACAGTCTCCTAAATGCCAGGCACCTGGCCAATGTAGTTCCAAACACATCACCTCATTAAGTCATGGAAACAACCCTAAGAGGCAACTTGTTTCAACTCCCCTTTGCAGATGAGAGATTTGGCACCCCAGGATGTTAAGTTCACCCAAGTTAGCACACTTAACAGAGGACTGGAGCTGGACCCAGGACCTTCTGACTCCAAAACCAGTACTGTTAAGCTGGAGATTGAAGGAGAAGCTCTAATGTGGGCCAACCTTTGTTGAGGCTAGCAACCAGAATTTGCATCTGCATTTCTTTAATTAGAACATGTTGTATTTCCAATTATAAAATTAATTCTTGTCTAATGTAGCTATTTCAGAAAATACTAAAATATAGGAAGGAAAGCAAATCAACCCTATTCCCACCACCCAGAGGTAATGATGAAGATCTTGATGTAGTTCCCCCAATCTTTTTTCTATACCCACATGTAAAGGCAGTTTGCATAAGGGGAATAATCCCAAGCACACCATTCCGTATCAGGAGATAAGAAGGGTCTGGCAAATGCAATTCATGAATCCCTTGCTGAGGCTGGACCCCCAGCTGCCCCCAGCTTCAACAATCCCAGATGACAATTACCCCACCACTAGTCCAATAGAAACCCTACCAGGTTGGAGATTTGTGCATTTCACCCAGTTACCATTGGACAAACCCTGCTCTGATGCTTTCCCTTCTCCCACTGTTCCTGTGTCTCTTAGAAGACCAAATCATTCCTTTGCTTGGAGACTACAGATGTCACATACACCTTCCAGGCTGCCCAATCCCATCAGGAAGAAAGCATTCCCAGAGTGCAGTCCCCAGGGGGACAGAGGCAGTGCTGCAGCTTAAAGGTGCAAGCAATCTGGGTTCAAATCTGCACTCTGTCTCAAGCAGCTGTCACCTCTCTGAGTCTCTGTTTCACGTCTATAACATGGGGCAGAAAGAACACCAACCCTCTGGTTGAGGCTTACACAAGACAAAGACCAGTAAATACTCAACTCATAGCAGCTGTTGCTTTTCATGAGTGAGGAGAAGTGATCTGAATAACACTAATACTGATTGCCAACAACTGTTGAGTCCTTGCTAAGTGCAGGCACAATTCCCATTAATTCCTAACAACAACTTCAGGTGATCGGTATTAGGATTTAGTCCATTGAGAGATGGGGAAACTGAAGCCCAGAGAGATGAAATCCTCTGTCCGAGGGTACATAGTAAGCTCACAGTAGAGGTTGGGTTAGATCCCAGCTCTTCTGGCCCCTGCTGCCCGGTCACCAGCACAATTCCAAATGGCAGACTTGGTACCTTTCCCTTGTCCTCCTCGTCCCTCCCCAGCTCAGAACCCTCTTGCTCTGTCTGGGGGACAAACCTCCTCCTGGGAGTGATCTGAGTGATCTAGGGACTGACACCTGGCTATGGAGCCCCCTGCAAGGTGCTGGGGGTCTGAGAACAGAGCTATTAATCTCCAGTGGCTCCCAGTCTACTTGCACCGCAGCCCACTTTCATTGTGTCTAATGTTCTACTTCTGATACCGTTTGGCGGATACATAGACGTTTTATTGTTTTTTGGATTTTCTATTGTATGCCTAAAATATTTTATTTTATTTTTTATTTTTATTATTTTTTAAGATTTTATTTATTTATTTGATGGAGAGATCACAAGTAGGTGCCTGCTTGTGCGCTCTCTCTCTTTCTCACTGAGCAGACAGCCTGCTTCCCCCTCTCTCTGCCTGCCTCTCTGCCTACTTGTGATCTGTCTGTCAAATAAATACATTTTTTTTTAAGATTTTATTTATTTGTCAGAGAGAGAGAGCGCACAAGCAGGCAGAGGCAGAGAGAGAAGCAGGCTCCCTGCCGAGCAAGGAGCCCGATGCGGTACTCGATCCCAGGACCTTGGGATTATGACCTGAGCTAAAGGCAGCAGCTTAACCAACTGAGACACCTAGGCGTCCTGAAATAAATACATAAAAATCTTAAAAAAAAAAAAAAAGTAAGGAGTAAAGTTTTAGGATTTTTGTCACACACAGTCAGTTTGGGTAGAATGGGACATAGTCCACTTCCTCTAGGCCTGATCATTGGACAAACTCTAATTTTTGCTAAGGTCCTGCTCTGAGCGGGTCCTTGGCCTGGCCCTCTTTTGTGTATCAGGTTTCTGAGCCTCTTCCTCTCTCTGCTCTCTCTATTTCAGCACAGAATCTTACTGTTTCTTGGCCCAAGTCTGCTGCAGGACTCACGGAGGAGAGTGAAGAAACAAAGCCATCTTTGAAATCAATTATAAAGACCAAAACAATGATGTAAGAGAGCTTCTGTGAGTAAGATGACGTAACACCTCCAAGCTACGTTCATAGAACAAGTCACTAACCAGTACATCCCTGTCTTTGAACAACAGCGTCTAAAAATAGTATTTGCTGTAATTTCCTGAGTAGCTGGTATAAATGGAAAGAGTGTTAGAGTAGTGAGCGAGCTGTGTCGGGTGGTAACTAACTCCCCTTTGATGGTAGTTTTCTTTTTCTTTTTTAAGATGTTTATTTTTTTTTTTATTTGACAGAGAGAGAGCACAAGCAGGGGGAGCATCAGAGCGAGAGGGAGAAGCAGGCTCCCCGAGAAGCCGGGAGCCCAACACTGGGGCTTGATGTGGGGAGTCCCGTCTCATGACCTGAGCCAAAGGAGTCTGTCAGGAATCTCCCTCTGCTCCCCAGCCCCTCCATTCGGAATCCTCCTGTGATTTCTCCCACATCTCCCCCACCCCAGCCCGTCCCATCTGATAGGGGCTGGTCTGCCATGCAGACTCCCAGAGTCCAAGAGCTGTGTCTTTCAACCATTCCTCTGTCCCCGGCACTCACTCAACACAGCGCTCGTCACACAGTAGGCTGTGTTAGTCCACTTGGGCTTCTGTAATGAAAACACTGAAGACTGGGTGGCCTATAAGCAATGGAAATTTATTTCCCACAGTTTTGGGGGCCGGGAAGTGCAAGACCAAGGTGCCAACAGATTCGGTGTCTGGTGAGAGTGCACCTCCTGGTTTGCAGACAGCCATTTTCTTGCTGTGTCCTCTTAGGGTGGACGGGGCTGAGGGATTTCTCTTTGGGTCTCATTTGTAAGGGCAAGGATCCTATTCATAGGGCTTCCACCCATGTAACCTATTCACCTTCCAAAGGCCTCACCTCCTCCTACTATCACCTTAGGGATGAGGTTTTAATGTATGAATTCTGGAGGGACACATCCGGTCTAGAGCACAGGTGCTCTGAAAGAAATGAATGAATTAATAAAAACCGTCCAGTATTGCCGCAGATATATACAGATGAAAAGAAAATCTGGTGTGATCCGGAGAGTTCACTCATTAAAAATTCAGTAAAAGAGGCAAAGGTATGTAAAAGTAGAAGAATGTATACTGCAGTACCTTTTAATGGCAGAATGCCAGAAAGAATCCAAATGCCCAACAAGCGAGAGGACAGAGGGACCAATTCTGGTATATTCTTAAAGGGAGGGTGCCACACGGCCATGAAAAGTAATGAACTAGAACTCTATGCATCAACTTGGATAAATCTCAGAAATTAGAGCATTGAGTAAAAAAAAACAAAAAGCTGGCTGCAAGATAATAAATAAGCTAATTGCAAAAGGACACATACATAATACCAGTTAATAAAATTCAGAACTATGGAAGGCAATTCAGTATATTTTTATGAGCACTTACATGTACAGTAAAAGCAGAGAAACCATGAATACCAAGTTCAGGAGAGAGGTTACGGCTGTGGGGGGAGAAAGGGGGCAGCAAAGATCCTGGAGCACTTTCATTGTGTCTAATGGTCTACTTCTGATGCTGTTTGGCAGATACGTAGAAGTTTTATTGTTTTTGGATTTTCTATTATATGCCTGAAATATTTTATTTTATTTTTATTTTTATTATTTTTTAAGATTTTATTTATTTATTTGATGGAGAGATCACAAGTAGGTGAGGAGGCAGGCAGGGAGTGGGGGCAGGGAGCAGGCTCCCTGCTGAGCAGAGAGCCCAATGCGGGGCTTGATCCCAGGACCCTGAGATCATGACCTGAGCTGAAGGCAGAGGCTTAACCCACTGAGTCACCCAGGTGCCCCTGTATGCCTGAAATATTTTATTAAAGAAAAAAAACCCAAGCTAGCTGTTGAGAGTGAAGGTCTAATTCCTACCCCTGTTCAGATATTCGCTATGTGTCTCCAGCAAGGGATTTAATCTCTCTGAGCTTCGGTTTCCTCAACATTACAATAGGGATAATAAATCTTGGAAGAATTAAGTGACATCATGGGTGTAAATTGCTTAAAGCAATGGAAGTATTCAACAAATGATAACTATTCATATCATAATTAATTATCAACAGCAGTTAGTTTCAAATTATTTGAAAACTGGAGACATCCAAGAAGATCAGCCATTTTTTAAAAGATTTTATTGTTGGGGCGCCTGGGTGGCTCAGTGGGTTAAAGCCTCTGCCTTCAGCTCAGGTCATGATCCCAGGGTCCTGGGATCGAGGCCCACCTCAAGCTATCTGCTCAGCGGGGAGCCTGCTTCCTCCTCTCTCTCCGCCTGCCTCTCTGCCTACTTGTGATCTCTGCCTGTCAAATAAATAAAAATACAATCTTTAAAAAAAAATTTTATTGTTAAGTAATCTCTACACCCAACATGGGGCTTGAACTTACAACCCTGAGATCAAGAGTCACATGCTGCACCGACTGAGCCAGCGAGGCACACCCAAGATCAACCATTTCTAACCTGTCTTCACAGATGACACCCCAAGACTTAGAGAGGTTGGGAAGTTGTCTGAGGTCATGGGGGGCATGGGAGGCAGCACTGAGGATGGGAGGTGTGCGGACAGCCCCCTCTGGGTAAGGTGCTGAGCCGGCCGGGCCTCTGTTCCAAAGCGCTTCCCTCAAAACCTCACTTCCTTCTAGGGAACCAAAGATGGTCACATGGGGACCTGCTAAAACAGGGACACAGGTCCCAGAGGCACCCGGACAGGTTCTAATGTGGCTTCCTAATCCCAAGGCCTATTTATGTCATCATGAAAGAGATGGAGAAGAATAATGTCATAAGGGCATCCCTTTCTATTATACATATATATATTTTTAATATTTTAATTATTTATTTGTTAGATATCAGAGATATCACAAGTAGGCAGAGAGGCAGGCAGAGAGAGAGGGGGGAAGCAGGCTCCCCGCCGAGCAGAGAGCCCGATGCGGAGCTCGATCCCAGGACCCTGAGAAAATGACCCGAGCCGAAGGCAGACCCAGCCCACTGAGCCACGCAGGTGCCCCCTATTTTATATCTTTTTAGTAAAAAATCTGATGCCTAACGCAGAGAGGCATATATCTTCACAAAAATACACAAATTCAAATGCACTGTTTGTTAATAGCCCCAAACTGGAGACAACGCGGATGTCCATCCGTGGAAGAATGGACAGTGTTGCACTCTTTCCACAGGATAATACTCTCCGGCAGAGAATGAACATGCTACTGCCATCAGGACCACACAGACGAATGTCCCAAACAGTGTGGATGAAACAAACCAGACCCAAAGCTTTTACCTGCTATTTACATAAAGTTCAGTACTGGCAAAACGAACCAGGAGGCTAGATGTCGGAGTACTGGTTGTGCTTCAGAGAGAGGTTGGAAGTGGGCTGGGGGGGCCATCCGGGGATGGACAGTGTCGCGTTTGTTGGTCTGGGTCCTGGTTCCAAGGCTGTGCTCTTCGTGAGAATGCATGAGCTGTACTCTTATTGCTTGTACACTTATGGCCATATATTACACTTCAATTAAAATGTTGTTTAATATAAAAACACTTGCCAATTGCAGTATTTTAACCACTATTAGTTACTGATTGCTTATGCGACATCACGGATGGGAGTCATATAATATAGAGGGCAATTGTGGGCCTCTCAGTTAGCAACTTCTCAGAAGCCTTGACCTTGAACGGTACCAGCTGAAACCAGCTTTCGTTTCAGGCTCACTGAAAGGGGGGATTGTCTACTGAGGACCCAGCCAGGTGGAGACAAGGGCCATTACTCAGGACATCTGATCCAGAGAGAAGGCAAATTATCTGATTTGGCAGTTTCCTGGGATCACATGACCCAGATAATAGTCAAACTGCCATGGAGACACCACACATCCCAGCCAAAATACCCACCAGGTGGACCCTTCTCCTGGAGCCATAATTGTGGGCAGAGCGCAGAGAGAGGCCTGTGCCCCCCCCCCCCCCCGGGGTCTCCTTTCTGCAAGAGGAGCCAAAGGAGCTCTTCCAAAATCTGCAGAGGCACGAGAAAGGTAAGGCCGATCTGGTCCCAGCGGTGCTCCAGGCCCGTCCCCTCCAGGGACCCAGCTCTGAGCCTTTGGGCAAAGATGATCTCATTTAATCTAGCAGCCCTAGGAAAGAAGTAGCATCACAACTCCCCATTTTGTGCAGAGGAAACAGGCACGGAGGGGTTGAACGAGTCTCCCAGGACTGAACACCAGGGGCGCTATTCCCCATTTCTTACCCAAGTTACTCGCACATCTGTATGAGCCTCACTTCCACTGCATGCTCAAGGAGTTCAGGTCCCCTGCCATGCAGGCTCGCAGGTGCGATTCAAAGTGCATGGGTTCCATGGCGGAAACCGCTGCAGAGGTAGAAGACAGAGAAAGCAAGATCGGACAGGAAGAGCCTTCAGACTGGATACAGGTCTGCTCCCTGGGAAAGGCCACGGGGAGGAAGGAGGTCTGTGCGGGGAGATCCCCAGGCCACAGCTCAGCTCAGAGACAAGAACATTATCCTGAGTGTACCTTCACTTCCATGGAAAAATCATATTCAATTATACACTGACACACCTCTCACCGACGGGAGCAGTACCAAGCAGAGACTTTTATTTTTTTGAGATTGTTTATTTATGAGAGAGAGAGAGAGAGCGAGATCAAGAGCGCACACATGCATGAGCGGGGAGAAGGGGCAGAGGGAGAGAGAAGCAGAATCCCCGTTCAGCAGAGAGCCCGATGTGGGGCTCGATCCCAGGACCTGGGGTCATGATCTGAGCCGAAGGCAGACTCTTAACCAACTGAGCCACCCCGGTGCCCCTGGATGGATTTTTTTTTTTTTCTTAAGATTTTATTTGAAGTAATCTCTATACCTAATGTGGGACTTGAACCCACAACCCCGAGATCAAGAGTTGCACATTCTACCAACTGAGCCAGCCAGGTGCCCAGAGTAAAGACTGTCTTAAAACACTGTTGCTTATATATCCAGTTATCTGTGCCCCAAGCCTACCCGTGGAGCCAAAAGCCCTGTCTTATTTGTCAGGTGGTACCAGCACAGAGCAAGGTGTTCACACATTATAGGGACTAATAAATGCACATTTCTGAGCCTGAACTGGAGGCATAGCTGTGGGACCACGTGCCACATGCATTAGTTGATTTAATCCCTGATGTGGGAAACAAAGGCAGAGGAAAAATTATTAATTTTCCTTACTACCTACAGCCCATTGACAAGCCCTCGAAACAAGAACTTCCTCTAGGAACTCAACTGCCTTGATGTTGACACTTTGCTAAGGGCAAAAGGCAATCCTGGCCCAACTTCCCCTGCCTAGGATCC